ACGCGATGCATACGTAATATGGCGAACACCTGGGTCGAGTTGTCATCTTCCTCCCAAGCAACCTTATTTGGGCAATGTACCCCACACTGCCTCCCATTTTTTTTTTTTTGGGCCTTCCTGACCTGCCACCCATTTTACCATTTCACCGCATCGGCCAACATCCGAAATCCAATCGACACAACACACACTCTCACACTCCTGCAAATGACGCCACTCGGTAATTAAAACGGCTGCACTAAGAGAAATCTTTGTTGCAATGCTAAGCTAATTCTCATTATTTAAATTCTTATATAAAATCATGTTGTCATTTTTTTTAATATTTAATACGTTTTTTAGTTCTAGTTTTAGTTTTTCAAATTCAAAAAACAACTATTCAGTTGTAGTTAACTTTAAAATCGTATGACTCATCGTAAATAAGGTTCTAAGAAAAGCGGTTCTCTATTAATTGAAAAAAGTCTGATAATAATATGAAGAAAGTCATTAATAATTTAAACACCAAAACTTCTAAATTATGTATCGCTTTAAAATTTGCCAATACCTATATAAAAAACAAAAATATATAACACAAATATTAATCTTTAAGTTTTTAAAAGTCTTTGACAATTTTGTGTTTTAAGTAATTCCTTTTCGAGGTATTAAATTAGAATAGGATTCTTTATATTTTTTAGTATTGAATCTTTAGCTATATTTTTTAAGATCTCAAACCGATCAATTTTGAAATATTTTATTTCCTAATATTGAAATAAAAGAAACAATAAAATATTTTAAATTTTGGATTGTCTCACAAAGCATAACGTTTTATTGGACTACTTTTAATAAGATTGGATAGTTGTTTTAGTTTAGAACTGTTTAATTTTAATATTTTCCAATCCCTCATACTATTATAATTATATAAAAAGAAATACTAGTTTGACATCTATTTGAATTATTTTCTGTGTAGCTGAGAAGATGACTTTTCCTGCCCAACCTCAACCCCAAACCCGCAAATCCCCAAAACCGCCGCCCATTTTCCTCGCTTCCGTAGTGAGTGTGGGTTGTTGTGTACGGAGATGGGGCGGGGTCGAGGTGTTACGTAAACGAATTTCGAAATCCCATCTATTCGCATACATATTCAGATGATGCACACCCACATTCACACTCATATTCACACTCAAACACTGGCATCGCATCGATGAACCCGTATCTTTGTGCAAACAAAAGCGACACGCAAAGCTAAAGCCCGGAGTCAAGTTCAGATACTACAAATATCGCAATTGTTGTAGTAAGTAGTAGTTGTTGCTGGTGGTTTTCCACCGGGAAATCGCACTTGGATCTTGATTGACTGCATCACATGGCAAAAAAAAGCGCTATATCTCAGCTTTTGCTGTAGTTTACAATTTCACAGAATTGTTTACCGCACTCGCCTGATCGTGTGTCCCCCTCCGACATGATCTGACTCATAAATAAATAAATATCTTAATAAAGTACAACATATATGCACTATTTGCAAATTTCAAAGCGTTGAACCTCCGCCGACACGTGATGCAATCGGTAAATCAACAGGCGAATTGCTCATAAAACCACGATTATTCAGTTAAGTTTATTTCAAGTTAATGCTTGGAAGTTCTGTAAACGATTTGTCAGTGAATAAAAACATTTTATTTTATAGCCTATTAAAACGAAAAGCATATTAAGAGATTCATAAAGAGTTCGATTGTTAATTCAATGCAAGCAATCATTAAACTATGATCGAATCGAATGGCTATCGATTGGGTTTTGGATTTGTATTACTTTATATTATATAAAATGTAATATTTTTAATAAATTAATTTATTAATATTGAAATTGTGTGTTTATTTTAATATATTTACTTTATATATTAAAAACATTAGAATACCTAGTTTTAATGAAATATGGTAACGTAATAACAATTTGATATAATATTTACCACCTAAAAAAATTGTAGATCGTTCTTTTTCAGGATTTCGTAAAATTTATCATTGTTTTAGCCTATTTTTTAAGTTTTTAGAATTTGAAAATTTAAGTTTCAAGTTATTTTCAGACTCTTTCTCTAATTTTAAAGACACTCTCCAGGTATTACAGTTTTTCCAAGTTAATCTCCTTTCAAAAATATTGCAACCCTCTTTTAAAATTTTATTTAATTGTGAATACATCTCATTTAAAATTGTTTAGAGAACAACTTTAGCACTCATCATTAGCGACAATTTCGAGCGAAGTTTGTTTGTAATTGTTGGTGCAGAGTGAAGTCATAAACAAGTTGGGCAAAATGGCAACCATCTTTCCATCAGCCATCTTTCGATTGGCGCAGAGTTCCGGGGAACTCATAATTCCCTTTTTGCCGGATTCCCGATGTTACGTTCTTTTTTAGAGCTTGTGTATAAACGGAACTGTTTATACGCTTTTTTTCGCATTTGTTTTGTTTAATTTCACGATGTGTGAGTGTGTGTTTTTGCAGCTTTTGCTGGCTTAATTCGTGTGTTGTTTATGTTATAAATACATTTTTATATTTCTGCAAATTCCGGGCAAGAAAAACAAATGAATTTCAAGAGAGAGTGGGTGAGAGAGAGAGCGAGAGAGTAAGAGGGAGAGCCAGGCGTATGTTTGCAAAACTTTGCTTTTAGCAATTGTTGACTGTATTTTCCGCAATCACAACAACACCGAGTGGGGGTGGGCAAGGGCAAAGGCAAAGGGGGGAGTGCCTTTGATGACGCCGTCGAAAAAATGTTAACTACGACGCAATTCGGTTTACTCACACATTCTCCACTTTTTCCTGCTTTCGGTTAGTCTGCCACATTCTCGCTTTTATTTTTTTCTCGGTTATTTTCGTATGCACTTTGGCTTGGCTTTCGCGGGGTTGCTACGTCACACTTAACCCTTTTGAGAACCTTAACCCTTGGGGCATGCACATAATTTATATATATTATTATTAATTTATTTATACGATTTTTGGGTAAACTTTTTTGTTAAAGCGGATGCGATCGGTTGAAGGTGCCGTTGTTCAATGTCGCCTTTTTACGATTTTTTCGCTTTTTCGTCCGCATGGAAAGTTCTCGCCTCTGCCGCTGCTTCTGCCAGCGTCGACGTCGGCAGAGTTTCTATCTTCTAGCGACCGCGCTCTGCCTCTCTCTCAGGCTACCTATCTCGCTCTGGCCTGTTCTTCGTCAAGTTTTCCAATTCTTCCTGTTCCTGTTTCTTGGGCCTGCTTTTGGGCCAGTCTTCCCACTGTTGCCCTACTGCCCCACACACCTCTCGAAAGCCAACAGAGAGAGAGGGAGTGAATGAGAGCGAGAGCGAGAGGCGCTCTCTGGAATGGCCTTCAAACTTACTGAGTTATCTCTCAGCCAGCACTCCCGCTCCCGTTCCCTCTCGCTCTTTCGATGGCCATCTCGCTCTGCTGTTGCTTCCTCTACCATTCTTTCATTCATCATTCTATTCTCCTCGTGCCTTGCACTCTTTTCTTAACGAAATCGAACTCTACACCTTTCCCCCGCCCTCCTGGCCAAAGCACATCCCTGAAGTGTATCTGTATCTGCGCACTTTTATCTGTGCTGTGAACTTACTTTTGCTTTTCGTGGATTCCTGTTTATTTTGCGACGCTTTTTCTAGCCGAAGCAAAACAAAAAACGCTGAAAAACAATTGCGAACAAAGGGTTTAAGGGTTCGGCGGGGGGTTACACAGATCCCCATCCCTTGATCCCGCTCAAAAAGCTCTAAAGCATGAGAGGAGGGCGAAAGCTTTGAAAGCTTAAGCAAAATAATCTAAGTTAAAAAATTTCTCCAAGAAAAACGATTAAACGAAAGCAAGGATTTTTAATTAATTCTTAAAGGAAGTTGGGGGGCTAATAAAGTGAGTATTCTGACGCTAAGCTTAAAGATTTTGTTTCACCCTGCTCAGTTCTTTATAAAATAATGTAAATTTTATTTATATAAAATTTCGGTAATAGTTTGTTATTTTCTTTTTTCATTTTATGATATCACAGATTTTAAAAGGACATAGATCTTAAGAATGTTATTATTTTTCTATAATCTTTCCTAAAATCAAGCTTTAAAAAACTAATAAAATTATTAAAGCTTTGTGTTTTGAAAACCCTAACACATCTGTGACAGTTTCTGGTGTTTTTAATTTTTTATAATATATATTTTTAGTATACCATAAGTGTCTTTTAATTGCATTTCTCAATCAATAAAATTATCAGAAAATCTATTTATTTCTTATTATAAAACTTACCCTTACGAAAATCAGCTGATATTGAAAATTTCTCCATTTCAATTCAATGATGCAATTTAGTTTTTGTTTTTCAAAATTGTAATTTTCACTGATTGCCTTTCCTTATTGGTTTTTTATGTCATATTTTGAGCTTTGTTTTTTATATAAGCGGGAACTCACTTGTTTTTGGGGAAACACGTAAAATAGTTGTGAAATTATAATTTGCATTTCCAATCCATTTTGCTATCCCTCATTTTCGCTCTCTCTCTTTCGTTCTTCATTTCCACACACAATAGAATGCACATTAAATGACGTTGATTTGGCATTTTAATTAATTTTGGCATATGTATAATTTCCATTTGTTTCAACTGTTTTTTTTTTCTCCTTATTTTTTACAATTTAATTTGACAAGCACTTCTCGTTGAATTGAACACAATTAAATTGCAATTATTTTGCATTGTTATTGGCTTTTTGTGTTGAATTTGACAAAACTCAATTGCTCAGTTGATGTCATTTGCGTGTCTGATTTTTTAACGAATAATAGAGTATAGTTAGCTGATTCTTTTCTGTGTTTTGCTGTTTTTGTGTTTAGAATTCTTCTGGTGGGGTTGCTCTGAGGTTTCAAGACTTTTGAGGCTGGGAATTTGTTGGTTGTTGGCAGCTCGCCTGTCGCACTTTCAATGCCAACGCGCAGCCCAGCTGAAAATGGCAGAGCCGTCGTTGCCTTCGTGAAAAGCCGAAGGTTTCCGAAGAGAGTGCCGAGGCACACACTTGTTCGGGCGAAGAATCTGTGGTTTGTAGCTGTATCCGAGCCCAAGTGTGTGGCTGCGCGTGTGTCTGTGTGCGTTGCAAGGAGCTGCTGAGCGGAAAAAAAGTAAAGCCAACAAAAGCGCAGACAAGCTTAGCTCAAGTTCAAGGATGTTATGTAATGCAGCCAAGAGAGAGAGAGAGCGCCAAGTAAAGTACTATATGTAGGTGAGCACCGGAACAGCAATTGCAGTCAGCAGCTATCTCCCTCTCCCAGTAACACACAAATACATACATGGAAAGCTACTCCTCTTCTGATCCCCTTTCGATTTCTCGCTCTCTCCAGCTAACGCCATCCTGCTCTGGCGGCGTCTTCCCTTCCCTTCACTCGCATGTACATACATGCAGTTTAAGTTGTGCAGTTTGACGCGTCGCTTTTACTGCCCTTCGTTGCCCGTTCCTGGTAACCGTTCATCTGTGCAGTAGTCACTCACTAAGGACAGTCACCACTGAACCTTGAAAATAAAAATTAATACAAATACATCGGGATTTAGAAACAGAGATACCTTTAGGAAGACTTTGATCACAGTTGGTTTTTTACACAGGCAAGAGAATACAATTTTAGCACCATCACATTACATATTGTTTTGTAGGTTTCTTCTTTTAATTTCTTAATTCGTCGTAAACAAAATAAGTGAGTGATTTGCTTTATTTCTTATGATTTCTTCTTCTTGATTTCACCACGTGTGTTTTAGTGTAGCTTAATCTTCAGTATGACCACAGTCCCGTTTCCTTCTTAATCCTATATTCCGATTATCCTATTTTACACTAATTTGGAACAATGGAAATGAAATGATTATTAATAAATGCTGGTTGTGTAATGATGGTATGATTATAAATGTTATGCTTAATGCTAAAACTAACTTATTTTTTTTTTAGCATTTAAAAAAGTTTATCACAAAATATATATATAAATTTAATGTAGATACATAAATCTAGAAACTATCGTTAAATTTTTGCTAAATTTGATAAAAATCTCAAATTTTAAAACTTAATATGCAGTTTAGCACAGAAATGCAGTCCGAATTAAAATTAATGCAGTTTGGCTTAGTTATGATATTTTAATATCTTTAATGTACCTCAAAAGTTAGCATATAATATACCTAGAATAAATATATTTGCGTTTTTTGGAGGTACTGATCTTCTCGAAATTAGCTTCCTTTGTTGTTGGGTAGTTACCTCTGATCTAACTTATATATTTTCCCAATCTCTTTATTTTCTACTAAATCTCTAAGAAGAGTGTCCACTGTATGTGCACCGAGTTCGCTGTGTATCTGTATCTGCTAGGAGGTATCTGGGCTTTCGGGTTCGGGTTGTGGGACTGAAACTGGGTCTGGGCCTGGGCATCGAATTGTATATAATTAGCGCACTTATTGACTAACTGCTGCTTGCAACACAGAACAGAACAGAAAAGGCCCAGTGGCGTACGGGGCAGAGTACAATAATTACTTGGCTTACTGGCCCCGGGATCCGCTAAGTATACGGAAATCGGTTTTCCATGTATCGGCCATATAGCGGGGGTGGGACCTGCTAATACCCATGCATCATATATATGGCACATTGTGTGCACTGTCATGCGATTTTTCGATTGACAAATGTGCGTGTGCTGCAATTCAGCGCCGGCTAAGCCATCCTGCCATCTCTTTCGGCCCATTCGCATGCCATCTCTCTCATCGGTTCCTCCGGTGTGCTCTCCTCTCTCTCTCTTTATGGTGGGGGCACAAACATTGCTGGCGTTTCGATTTTAATTTCCTAATTGAATTTGTTTGGGGGCCCCAAGCAAGCAAAGTGTGAGCGAGAGAACGCTAGCCGCCATGTTTGTTTAATTGTTTAATTAAATTAAATGCCTTGAGTGCAGTGCTTGCACTATGGTATACACTATTTTCAGGTAAATATATACGTATGTAAGTTTGTGTGTACCCTCGGCTGTATCTATATCTTTGTGGCGGGTATATGCAACAGATGTTATTGCATGTCGAGCTGGGGACTTTCATAACTTACCAATTTGCCTTCGTGCGCCGATTTCTTATGTCATGCGCTCTAGAGATACAGATACAGATACATTCGCACTCCAACTCGGCTGCAGATACACACGTGGATGCACTGGCACACACCGAAGACTGCCCATATGTACATATGTATATATGGGGTGGCCAGTATATAAATATATACGTATATAGCTATTGGTACATGTATGTACATATGCATATAAAGATACAAACATCCCGAGCTTGCACCTCCACAGTGACAGCCAGCTGTAGGCCAACACTCTACTAAAGAACAGTGGGTGGCAGCTTTCCGCCCATTGGCAAAGTGATGAAAATGGGAAAAATTGCATTACGAATAAAGAGTGATTTGTGATACATAGAAAGCGGGAAAGGGTTTTAAAGAACTTATATTCTTAATTCTCTTAATTCTTAATTCTCCTATATTCTTAAAAAATAAATAAATAAATAATCTTAAGGGATTTTAAAATATAATACAAATAAAAAGTAATTTTCCAAAAACCATGTGCATTGAAAGGCATAGCATACTTTTTGGGAAAATTATAGGTTATTTAAAATTCATGAAATAACAATGTTATTTTCTTTAGTTTAGTAGTATAAATAGTAAATGGTAACGTCTTAATATTAAAACATATTATTTTTAAACGTATTTATAAACAATAAAATATCTTATATATACAGTTAAGTAGGATTATAAATTAATTAAAATATATAATAAGGAATAGATTATGGAGCCAATGATAGTATCCCAAAATCAAGCTCATTGAAGCTCGAAATTGAAAGCTTCGAAGCCATAAATCCGATTAATGTATATAAATGCATCTTTGGACTTATGGCCCCCTGCGAGTGTATATATACTTTCTCAAAATAGTGCCTGGAAAACCGAGCTCGAAGCGCATCTATTATAAAATGTGTATACTTTTTGAAGAAACAGTGGGGGCGGGTGACACGAAGAGGGAGCTATCCGAGGGAGTAGTAGCTGCTAGTATGTGTTGAGAATGGGGGCATACTTTTGGCAACCACTGTGTAGGTGGCTAAAACGGATGATTTCGCTGCTGCAACACAGAGAGAGAGAGCCCTTACCCTTTCCCCTTTTCGTGGCCCTGCAGCAGCGCATGTGTATAGTAGGTGACCTTGACAGTGAACTTGAAATACATGCCACAAGGATTCACTATGTCGCTGTGTGTGTGTGTTGAGGGATGGAGAGAGAGCGAGCAGAGACAGAGAGCGTCAGCTTTCGGAGAGCTTTTGCTTGGAAAGTGCAGCTGTGAGGGTGGCAATTTTATATATATGTAGTATGTGTGTATAAATGTACATAGTTCATATGAATCATCGCCGAATGCGACGTGTTGTCTGCAGTCGACGTTTAGTGAAATATGTGCCAGAAATTTCGCTTTCATGTTTCGCCTTTATTGCAGGGGTAAAAGAGAGCAAGCAGAGCGGTGAGAGTAAAACAAAAAGAGATAGAGAGAGAGAGAGAGTGAGCGAGAGAAGCGCTTTATGCAACGGTAAAACTAATGGCGAACATATGTTGGCAAGTGCCAAATGATTCACATTCCGATTTCGATTTCGATTTCGTTTGCCATTCTCTCAGCCACTTTGATATTGTGCATTCAACTTTGACATTTTTCTTGGGCAAACAGGGTTGATTTTATGCATGTCCTGTGCTTATTTCGATCCCGTCATAAACTACTCCTGAATGTCAACTGAAAATTAAGACGAAATTGCATGGTTTTATGGCTTTGAACCAAAAAGAAGCGGGCAACATGGCGTATGCGCAATATTCGTATATCTTATTAAACTGCAGTATCTGACATAAAAACATTTTTATGCTTGACTTTAAATTCACAATTTTAAATTTAAAATGAAAGCTACCGCTCTTAAAGCTTAGTTCTCTTATTTATTTTGCTAAATATAAAAAAGGTGGCAAAACATTTATTCCCATGTTTGCACTTTTCCAAAGACAATTAATCAAAGCCCATTTGTAACATGTAAAAGCTATTTTCAAACCCAATTAACACGGGCACACACCCACAACCTTCTAAATACACACTCGCACACCTTTAACCTTAATAAACACAGGGGAAAAGCTGTTGGAAACTGTTTTCAGCTTGCTAAAAATTATTGAAGAGAAAATATGGGGTAAAAAACGGTGTGCCTGAAAATTGTATCTGTGCGATAAAGAATACTTAGACAAATTAAGATAGAAAGATGCACACGTAGGCAGAAAACATGCCATACAAGTTGTGACTAAACACACGTGGAAAAGTAATAGATACGTTAGATAACCCAGGTTAGATTGACCCTGGTTATGTATATATTTTTTTAATAAGAACTTATGAATAAGAATTTATGTATTTAAAGTATACAAGAGTACTACAATTTGTTTATAAAAGCCATTTAATTCTGTAATTCTCTACAAGGTTTACTAATTACACTGAATGGAGAAGATGGTATACTAATAAGTAAGAAAAGACTTAAAAGATAGTTTTTAAATAGTTCACCTTTTTTATACCCTTGCAGGGTATTATAATTTCAGTCAGAAGTTTGCAACGCAGTGAAGGAGGCACCTCCGACTATATAAAGTATATATATTCTTGATCAGGATCAACAGCCGAGTCGATCTAGCCATGTCCGTCTGTCCGTCTGTCCGTCTGTCCTTCTGTCCGTCTGTCCGTCTGTCCGTCTGTCCGTTTCTACGCAAACTAGTCTCTCAGTTTTGAAGCTATCTGAATGAAACTTTGTAGTTAGCCTTCTATATACTCTCACTCGTATATATGTCGGAACGGGCCGGATCGGACGACTATATCATATAGCTGCCATAGGAATGATCGGAAAATTTTTACAAAAAAAATTTTAACTTTTTCAGTTTTCAATAGAATTGGATCAAATTTGAGATATAGCTATTTTACTATACTCTACAATTTTGCATAAAATTTTATGAAAATCGGACTACTATATCATATAGCTCCCATAGGAACGATCGAGAAATTAATACAATTAAATTTATAACCTTTTCAGTTTTCAACTGATTTTCATCAAATTTTAGGTATAGGCATTTAATTTAAGTCTTAAATTTTGTGGTAAATTTCATGAAAATCGGACGACTATATCATATAGGTGCCATACAAACGATCGTTTGATGTGGAGGAAAAATGCAAATCAGTGAAAGTAAAACTGCAAATATAATATGTATAGGTGAATGAAATGAAAGCAGATATTACTTACTTCATTGTTTTTTAACACAAAGATATATAATTTGTATTGTATGGTTTTTTATTCATAGAAGTTCTATCTGCAAGGGTATATAAACTTCGGCGTGCCGAAGTTAGCTTCCTTTCTTGTTTTTAAATATTCTTTGTACATATTTGAATTGTTTTTCATACTTAATCTAATATAGGATATATTTTTCTCATTTCCTGCTATCATTTTAGCATATTTTAAACTTTAAATCATTTCTCTATGTGTAGATGCAAACGCGAATGTATCTGTATCTGCATATTTCATCAGGTGGATTAATCTGAAGGCTACAGCAGCCAAGAATTCGAAATTGCAATCGAAAATTCAATTATTTTCGGTACTTTTCCATATCTGCCAAAAAATGCAAAGTGCAGATATAGTGCCAAGGGCAACCGAGGGGGAGGGGGGGCAGGGGGGCGTTAGAGAAACAGAGAGAGAGAAAAAGAGA